ACTATGCCTAACCAAGTTCAAGTGGAAATATAACTGAAACTGCTCCTTACCATTCATTGAACAGTTTGGCCCAAAAGTAGATTACACGGCTCCATTCATATGGATTTATTTTATGGTTTCTTGGGTGTCAGAGTTTTGGGGTTAATATCGTCATTCGTGTCTTGAAGATGCACACTTTTTTATGGGATGGAATGACAGGAGGGAGATTAAGTGGCATAATTTTCATTTTTTTGTTGAACTAGGTATATAATCAACATTAATCTTTATAAAAGTATCTCAGTAATTTATCAGCAAATACACAGGAAATTTCCCCAAAATTATGTGCTTCTTTAAGGTGTAGCTATGAGAACTTACAAAGCGGGTTAGTTGTAGAAGTATCTGGGGTGATCATGAAGTAAAACAGGTCGGCCTCAGATGGGTGTGCACTGCTGTCAAATCTGGGTTCTAGAAGTAAAAAAAGAAAAACAAGTTTAAGACATTCAAAAATTACAGTACAAATATGTTTGTCAAAGTGTCAATAAAGAAGTCAATGACATGGTTTATTTTAAATATTATTATTAAATATTATAAAAAATATTGAAAACATTTAAGGTAGCAACATACATTTTTAGGGGTTGTAGGGTGTTTAGTGTTTTCTTAGATCTGTGAAAAAAAGAAAAGAAATAGTGGTTACATGTATATTTCATCCGCAAGAAATTATTTGAAATTTTAAATAAAGTGTAGCACATGATTGAGTCAAAAACTGCTCTACTGCTGTATAAGAGATTAAAAATGAAATACCTTACCTTCAGTGTACTGAGGCCGAAACAGTACGGTGTTCACGAGACTGCTGTTCAGAGAAGACAGCTGCCACAAGCACTTGTCCTAAATATGACAAATAATTCTTCAGTTAAAGGCAAGTTCCACTATTGTTGTGAATTGTAGATTACAGACACATTCATTCCTTGATATTTGCATACTTTACAAGAAAGAAAACTTCTATACATATCTACTTGAGGCCTCAGTCATAAAACCAATTGAAAAGCAGCATTTCCTCTGTATTACAGTAGTAAGTGTTTCAACACAGCAAAGCAATAATTACTGCAAGACAAAGAGCTCATTCAGTTTAAACCTTAAATGTGTGATCACGTGATGACTATGATTGTGATGTATTAAAAATATTGACAATAAAATGGTTAACTTAAAAATAACTTAAGTGACCAAAGACTCAGTGTTACAAAATTATAGAGTTAACACTGCAAAAGATTACAGTAAACAATTAGTTATCAGTGGCACATAAAGATTGACTTTAAAACCTACTGTGAGCTCATCTTGAGGACTTTTGGCATGTTCTTGAATTGCAACTCCGACTTTTCATTTTTTAACTAGCTACAAATTTTTCAGTTTGAAAAGTAAAAAAAGTCTTAAATTCGCCAAACTACGCCACAAGTTATGTATTTCTAGTCTTTTTTCTAACAGCAGAATAGCAAAGATCTTTGGTATCTGTTAGCTAACACCGCTGACAAGGTTAGTCAGTTAAAATTAGCAGCACACAGAAAGATACATTGACACAATTATTTTTTTAAACTTACCTTATTATTATTGTATAGAAGTAATCAGTCTTTGTCCAGTGGTAAAAATGCAAGCAGTCTCAGCAAATTCGGCGCACAAATTAAAAAAAAACGTTGCTTGTTGCGCATGTTCTCTAACCTTCCGTATTTCTTCTTCTGTTGTTTTGTTGCACAGTAGCAACACATTAGCGCACTGCTGCCTCTCACTGGTGTATTAATGTCATCGGTTTTGTTGTGGCTACTTGAATATTTGAAGTAAGAGTTACTCATTGCAGCAAGTAAGTTGTTTTATTCGCCTTAAAATTAGCT